GCAGCTTGCTGCGTTCTTCATTGATGCACAAGCCGAGTGAACCATGCTAAGAGTCGTATGTGATCATTTGCTTTTTTTTTTTTTTTCAGATGGGCGAGGGGAAGAGAGTCTCCCCCACAAGCACCCAGACGCTGGCATGACACTTCCTAGCCCGGGCGAGGCAGATGGGGTCTGACCCCACCGGCGCCAGGGGGCTCCCACCACCTCAGCCCCTCACCAGAAAGGGAGGGCTTGTCCCAACACCAACATGAAGACCAGCAGGGTATACCTCCGAACCGGCCAGGCTGCCTGGAGAGGGCGGCCGCGAGCGGTGCCCCAGCACAAACCAAGGAGAGGCAGGCGGGGAAAGACTATACACGTGGGGGTAGGGGCAGGGGCAGGGGCGGGGGGGGGGGGGGACAGGTGTGGAGAAGAGAGCACAGTGGCTTCGGGGACCATCGCCCCAATGTACCGACTTCTCGCGCCCAAGTCCCCCCCAACATGAGCCCCCACAACCTCCTAGCACGACCCCACCCCCAGACCCTAAGGCCAGTAGGGTGACCACACACAGAGGGGTCTTTAAACCTCTTGCCGGGTTGCGCTAGGTATGTGGACAAGGAGAGCAGGCACATGGAAGCATGGAATGATCGCACAAGTGCAGAAAAGGGAGTGGGAAGGTGGCTGAGGCGAAGGGTGGGGAGGAAGAGCCGGACAGTGGGGGCCGGCGGGCAGCCTGCAACCCTCTTCCCCCCCAACCACCTGCTAATGCCCCACAGCAGGCCAACCCAGCAGACACAGCATCAGAGTGGCGGGGAGGAGAGCCAGTGCTGTGGGGGGCTCCTACAACACCACCGATGACACCCACTCAGCCTCTCCACCCACCAACCAGCAGGGCTAAGCCTACACACACCCCCCTTTCCTCAGTCATTCTCCAGACCCTGTTCCCCCCCCCCCCAAAAAAAGAGCGGCAAGAGGGGAGAGTGATGGCGGGGAGGCAAGCCAGAGGAGGACGTGGAGGAATGGGAGCCGGAAGGCGGTGTGTGCGAAGGAGGAGAGAGCGCGCCAGTGAGGGGGAACGCACCCCACAGTGGTGGCAGTAGAGAGGGGAGCTGATGGAGAGGAGGAGTAGACAAGGGCGACATGGGGAGCCAGAGAAGTGGTGAGCCAGGAGGACAAGGAGCGGGAGGGACACCTTGCTCGCACAAACAACCCCCGCCGAGTGGCAATGTGGGGAGACGACAGGAACGGCATGCATGGCGTGGCGTGGGCTCGGGACGGGCAACGACTACAAAGACGCTGACCGACCTCTCAGCATGGACAGCCACGACTAGCTAAGGCCCCCTAGCCACTCAAACTGTCTGCCTCCCTCCCAGGGGAAGCGGGGCCTCCAGACCCACCGACAGGACTCAGCGCGACTGCACGCTTTCCCGGGCTCTGCGCCCCACAGCGAACGATGCCAAGGTGTCCCACTGCCCACCGCTTGGGCAGCACGTACTCCAAGGGAGCAGTCGCACACGCGCCACGTGCCTCGACGTGAGGCCGACCCCGGCGGAGGGGCACACATTTCTCCGGGACACAATTGCGGCACGACCATAGACTGGGGGCGGCGGACACACAACGGGTGCGGGCTAAACAGGAGCCACGACCTCACCCAGGACCGCCACCCTCCCTGACACCAACACCTCGGGCACGCCAGTCTCCTTTGCCCCTTCTTTTCCGGACGCTGCTCCCTCTCAAGGGCTGCGGGCGACGGCGGCACCGCACCAAACGCCCGGCCCCCTCCAAGCCACCAGCGCATGCCGAGGGATTTCCGGGGTGGGACTGATCGCAGGGCCAGCGAGTAGAGGCAGGCGCGACACTTTCCAGCCACGCGAGGCGGATGGGGTCGCCTCAGGCCAACCAGCAAGCAGGAACAGATGGTATCAGAAACTCCGAAGTGGTCACGAGAGCGCATTATCACGCCCAGAGGGTGCTCTTCGGCACCCGAGCCCGGCGCCACGGCCAGCAGCGGAGTGGACGAGCGCACCGGACGGAAGGACCGACAGCACAGGCGCTGGGTGGGCGTCTCCTCATCGGAAAGGGCGGGCCGCGCCCAACACCACCACGGCCCGGATGACCAGCCGGTTATACCCCCAACCCTGCCAGGTCGCCCGGAGACCGCGGTAGCTAGCGACGCCGGGGCTCAAACTGCGGAGAGGCAGGCGGGGAAAGAGTACACACGCGGGGTCAGGGACAGGGGCGGGGAGGACGTGTTAGGAGAACAGAACACAGTGGCATCGGGGATCAGAACCCCCAAAGTGCCGCCTTGTCGCGCCAAAGCTCCCCCCCCAACAAGGGCCAACGTGATCGCCCAGCGCGATCCCGCTGCCCTGACCCCAAGGCCGGCGGGATGACCACCCCCGAGGGGGTGTTTAAACCTTCGCGCCGGGACGCGCTAGGTACCTGGATAGGAAGGGCAGACGTGCAGAAGCACGGAACGAATGCACTCGGGCAGAAGCAGGAGTAAGGAGGTTGCTGTGGCAGTGGGTGGGGTGTGGAGGAGGAGCCCGGCAGCGGGGGGCCGGCCGGCCAGCCAGCCGCCTTCCTCACCCCAACCTCCCGCGCGTGCCCCAACAGTATGCTGACCCAGCAGACACTGCACCGGAGGCGGCGGGGAAGAGAGCCACTGCTGCGGGGGGGGGGGGGACGGGACGGCTATAACACTCACGGAGGGAAGGACCCCCAGCCCGACGCCGTGGGAACAACGCGGGAGCGGGGACCCCTTAGCCACCTTCCTCGCCAGACCTTCCCAGCTGTCCTGGAGCCCGTCGCAGCACACCGCCTCGGTGGAAATGCGCTCTGCGGTGGCCGGTCGCTGGCCGGGGGCTGGTTCCTGATCCCATCCCCGACCCCTCCCGCCCGTAACCCGCACCAGCTGGAGCGCACTGCCCTCCCGGAAGGGAGGAGGGGCGGCGGCGGGCGGGAGAGCAGACTGGCAAAGGGTCGGGAGGAACAGGGAGCTGGAAAGATCCCCTGGAGACCACGGCACAGCCGGCTCATGCCGCCAGGTTGAGTCCTCAAGGGCGGGCTGTGTGTACCCCACCAGTTTACCTCTCAACGGTTTCACATCCTCTTGAACTCTCTTCAAACTTATTTTCAACTTTCCCTTACGGTACTTGTTGATTATCGCTCTCCTGCCGGTATTTAGACTTAGATGGAATTTACCACCGGCTTTGGGCTGCATTCCCAAGCAACCGGACTCCAGGAAGACCTCACACCGCCCACGGACTGGCCTCGATTTGAAGGACTCCGGCCCCTCATGAGCGGCGGCGGGGAGTGGGTCTTCTGTATGTCACATTTCCTGCGCCCACCGTGGGGCGGTGATTCGGCGCTGGGATCTTCCCTGTTCACTCACCTTTACTGAGGGAATCCTTGTTCGTTTCTTTTTCTCCGCTAATATCCTTAAATTCTGTGGGTCGCCACGTCCGATGTGAGGTCAAGTCCTTGAAGGAGGGGGAAGAACGACCGACCGACCGCCCAACCAACGGACAGACAAAAGAACGAGACAGACAGGACCCGGAGGTCACCGCCGTTGCCGTCGTCGTTGTCCTAGTCATCGTCATCGCCGTAGTCTCGCCCAGGAGTGCCAGAAAACCTAACGGAGAGAGGAGGCGGCTGGAGGAGAGAGAGGCGGAGCCGGGGCGATGCGAAGCGGCGCAGCACAGCGCGCGGCGCGAGCCCCGAGGAGTGCGCGGGAGAGGCCACTGCACACCTGATGACGCCCTGCCGCACGGTTCGGGCACCGCAGCCCACCTTTCCCAGTTCCGACCTGCACCCAACAAGACGTCAAGGCCACCTGGGCGGAACGCCTTGACACCGAGACTCCCCCAACACCTGCGACAACGCCACCGACGCCACCCCCCCACCAGCCGTGCTAAACCAGCGCAAGCCCCCCCTTCCCTCCCACTTCCTCCAGATCCCGTGCCACCACCACCCCCAAAAAGGGGGGACGAGAAGGGAGAAGGAGGGGAGCAGGGGAAGGCGGTAAAGCAGAGGAGGATTTGGAGGAGCGGGAGCAGGAAGGAAGAGGGAGCGAAGGAGGAGAGAGAAAGCCGCAGAGGGGGAACGCGCCCCAAAGCGGTGGCGGTGGAGTGGGGAGTGGACCGAGACTACGAGTACACAAGGACTTCGCGGGCAGCCGGAAATGGGGCGAGCCAGGAGGGCAGAGGCCGGGGGGACACTGCGCTGGAACCAAACACCCCCACCGAGCGGCAGTGTGGGAGACGACAGGCATGGCACGCGTGGTGCGTCGCGACGTGGGTTCGGGATGCTGCCGGACATCTCAGCGCGGCCGGCCTGTGACTGCCCATGGCCCCCTCGCCTCTCACACTGTCCAACTCAGCCGTGGGGAGGTGGGGTCTCGGGGCCCACTGACGGCGCTCGGGAGACCCTGTGCGACGCCTGGGCAACACGCGCCACGGTGAACGACCCCAAGGGGTGCCGCGAGCTGCGGGGCAACGCTTGCCGCGGGGGCGTGGGCTCACACGCGTCACAGGCCTCCACGCGAGGCTGATGCCGGCAGGGCTGGCACGCATTTCTCCGGGACCCGCGGGTGGTGCGAGGGACCCCTCCTCCACCGGGAGGGACAGTGGCCAGGGGGAGGCTGACCCACGATGGGGCGCGTGCTCACCGTGAGCCATGACTCAACCCCGGACCGCTGCCCTACCCAACACCAACACCTGGGGCACGCCACTCTCGCTTGCATCTTCTCTTCGAAACACTGCCCCCTCTCGAGGGCAGCGGGCGACGGCGGCACCACAGCACTTTACACGCGGCTCCCTCCCAGCCCCCACGCGCACGCCGACAAACGACGGGGTTGGGGTGCACTGGGGGCCGGCGAGGCGAGGCGAGGCAGGCGCGCGCCGACCGGGTCTGCACTTAGCGGGACGGAGGGCACACCAACCCGTCCAGGCGAGGAAACCTCCAGCCCCATGACCCCGGGAGATATACAGGGTGGGGGCGGGGGGGGGCTGATCGGCAAGCGATGCTCAGACATGGAGAGCCTCAGGAGAAACCTGGGGCCGCAAGTGAGTTCCAAGTGTCAATGATCAATGTGTCCTGCAATTCACATTAATTCTCGCAGCTAGCTGCGTTTTTAATCAACGCAGGAGCCCAGTGATCCACCGCTAAAAATCCTGTGTGAGCTTTTGCTCACATTTTTTTCACCCACCTAGCCGGCGGGCGCCACAGCCCGCAGCGGAGTGGACGAGCGCAGGGGACAGAAGGACCGACCCCATAGACATCTGGGGAGCTCCCACCACCTTCCCCCTCACCAGAAAGGGCGTGCCCGTGCCCAACACCAACATGTCTAACCTTGTAATTGCTTGGTTCTGCATAATTGTTTTAGATTCATTCCTATTGTATGTATAGAAAGTTCAATTTACTTTTATTTTTTAATGTTAGTATACTGTATAGAAACACAACAATTTGTATTTCTATTAATCCTATTTTGAACTTCTCTTTTTCCCCCAGTCTTTGGTTAATACTGAATGATGCTCTTTTGAAAATTTGCACATAATTATTTCTGCAAGTAGGGCCTTACATATACGTAGAGTAAATATCAGAGTGGGATAGGCAGATCATAAGATAGGTGTGAATTTTACTCGTTAAAACTACCAGTCTCTTTTCTAAGGTCATGTATAGTTTATTCTTACATCAATAACTTATAAGAATTGCAATTCATTTAGACTTTTCCTAATAACTGGTATCATGAATTCTCTAAAATGTTAGCCAGATAAGTCTAACTGTACAAATAATATGGATTTTACAAATGCAGAACAAGGATGAGAATTGATTTGAGTCCATATATTTTATGTTGAAGTATGTGTTCCAATACTTTGCAAAGATTTTTCTATTAATTTTTTTTTATTATTTCATTTTGAGAATTTTTTTTCTTGAATTCACTGTTCAAGCCCTTCAAGAAAGCCCAGGCCTTCCTTGTCCAGGGATTACAGCCATGCACCAACATGCCCGAATTGAGACTCGTTTTATATATTAATAATTGAAATATTTCTTGTAGGAAATTAGACAACATTTTTTCTGATATTTGTATGATCATTTCATTATTTTAATTATCATAGAAATCCTTATCAAACTCAACATTCACAGATGTTCCCATGACATCCTTTTAAAGATGTGGACCATTATATTTATGCTTAGAAATCTGATCCATATTAATTTAATTTTTATATGAGTTGCAAGATATGAATCCAAATAGTTTTATATAAATTCTTAGTCTGTTTTTCACCAAAATAATTTTAAAGTATATGATTTGTTTCCTTATAACATTGGGGAATTCAATTGGTTATGAATATTAACATTTATTTCTGGAACATGTAAACCATCTTACTGATCAACATTTATATCTTTATGCAGTAATACATTGTCTGGATTGTTACATATTTTGAATACATTGTAACTTATAATTAGGTCATTTAATCATTCAAATTATACTTTTAAAAATATTAATTTTGGATAGATAGTTTTTCATTCTATCTCTAATTTGTGAGCTAGCTTCAAAACTCTATGAACAAATTATGATCCATAACATGTTGAATTTATTAAAAATTGAGAAAAAAGTGACATCCATAGTGGATATTATAACACACACACAAGGTATATCTTTATATTCATTTAAACCTTCCTCAAACTTTGTCAGCTTAGTTTTGAAGGTTTCAGGGTATTAATATTTGTATATCTTTTATCAGACTTATTCCAAAGAATTTTGTATGTTAATTAAATTTAGACTTTCCAAATAATTTCATGTTTTCAATTATTTTTAATGTAGAAATTTATTTGATTTTTATTTAGTGTTATATTGTTTTATAGTGATCTTTCTATCTTGAGTGAAATTTGAATATCAATCTAGCATCATTAACGTTTATTAAAATCTTGTTTATGTATAGTTTTATTTATTTTATTTGAATCTTTATCACTTTTCTCGACTTTTTTAATGGATATTTATGTTCTCTAAAAATTAAGACCAATGAATTTTTTCTAAAAGTAAAAGCAATTTTGTTTTTATTTTTAAATCTGTATGCACTTAATTTCTTTCATTGTGTTTATTTCTTTTAATTGTGTTTTTACAATGACTAAAGCCTTAAAGCAATGTTGAATAAAATTTTGAGGAGTTGGCAACCTTTTATCATTTCTGACCTTTCTAGCATTTTTTAAATCTTTCCATGTGGAGCAAATATTACCTGTGGATTTTTATATATCCCTTTTTTAAGTTGAGGAGTTTCCCTTCTATTACTACACTGATAATATTTTCAACAGAAATGGGTGCTAAAATTGTCAAATGTTTTTATTTTCACATGTATTTGTATATATTTTAAAATAAATTCATTTATTTGTTTATTTATTTATTTGTATTGCTTACTTATCTCTGCCCAGGGAAAGAGAGAAACTAGAAGCCAGGACTGTAGATCATAAGTCTAGCAGCTCATTTGAAAACCCAAACTGTGGTCTATCACCAGTAGAGAACAGAGAATGATCACATTCCTCATCTGCTAAGAAGGACATGGATATCCTTGTTGAGATGGCAAATGCAGACTGAGAAGAACGGACAAATGGGTCTATGATGCAGATAGTGTCAAAGAAGTATATGCCTTAAATGTAGGAATGGAGAATTATGACTGCCTGGATTCCGAGTCTTCAGATCTTGAAGTGTAAAATGGTCACTCAGTAATACAGCAATTTTTTATCAACTCAGTCATTTTTTAAAGAAAAGGCCTCTTTTGTATCCGTTAAATCTTTCCATCATCAAATGTTTTTCCAGTTTAGCATTTCACCCTTTTTTAGTTTCTTTTCACTATTTGTCATTTCCCTTTCCAATTTTTTCTCTTCCTTCTCTTCTCACTTTCATCTTAATGTTTTTGTTTTCTGTTTACCATTTTTCTCCTTTGTCTTGTTCATGTTTCCTGTGAGAGTTTCCTATCACTATTAATTTCCTATTTAGTTCTTAAAATGATGCCATCTCAATATTCTCTTCTCATATACCATTGATTGCTTTTTCAAAATCATTTGTTTTTCTCATTGCCTGGCTCTCAACCTTCTATATCTTTACTAATATAGCAGAGCATTTAAATCTCTAGATAGATAGTTAATTTTATATTCTTTCTGTTGAATGCTGCTTTGTTGTTAGTAGAGGTAATGTTGGTTCAGTTAAATGACATACACTGAAGGTTGATAGTAAGTCAATATTTGTTTTGTATTAGTATTTGTACTATTATAAATTTCTCTTTTCTATGGCTAAGATTGGTGCTTTATTAGTACTTATACTTTGTGATTATTCAATTTATTTCTGATGCTATAATTGATGCTGTTTCATGAATATAATTAAGATGACATATCTGTCACTATGATCATGAAATACCAACTGTATGAATTGCCTTGCAGTATTAATAATAATATGGCCAATTCCTGGAAAACTGTACTGGTTAAGTACACTGCAACATCCCATCTCTCAACTCAATAGAGGTGGTTGGATACTTGGGGCAGAGCAAAAGACCAATTGGTAGCCATGCCCAAAGTGCATCACAGAAAAATAGACATTAACTAATATCTCCATACTAAAAATAAAGCTTTCTACTTCAATCAACCCACAAACCTGAACACATTAAAAAACAAGAAACAATAGCAACCACATCAACAAAATATATGAACATGAGATAAACAGCCAATAAAATGTCTCCAAATACTCCCAACTACTGCAAAGCTAATCAGTGGGACATACAATGGGAGAAAGCTAATGTCACATGTGGGAACTATTCAAAATAATATCAGCAAAGATAACAAAGCATCAACAAGAAATTTTGCAAGCACAAAGAGGGCCTAACTAAAAAGATACTGGTCCAAATAATAAGGGAAACTATAAAAGACATTCATAAAAGCTACAACAGATTAAAAATAAGGTGCAAAATATGCGTGACAATCATAAAAAAGTATTACAGTCCATATCAGTACTCCACATAAAAAATCAGAGGATTAGAAATTCTATAAAAATATGGTCAATTGAAATGTTCAATGTGAATTAGATATTAGAGTTGTTTTCAAGAAACTTTAGATACAATCACTGAACAAGCAAAATGAATACAACATCTCCTAGATGATGCAAAAAGACTAATCTGAGATAAATTTGAATTAGAAATCAGAAAACAATAAAAGTGGCATAAAATACAAGCTTAAAATTTCCTTCCTTATACACTTTGGGTTTAACTTGTTTGGGGTTTTGTTTTCTAGAAACTGAAGGTTGAACATAATTGAAACTCAGTGTTTTCCCAGTGTGAGTATTCACTGCCATAAATTTCCCTAATATGAATGCTTTCATTGTTATCCATATGTTATATTGATATTACAGCTCAATGGTAGAAAATGTCTAATTTCTTCCTTTATTTTATCTGTAACTCAATGGTTAGACAGTAGCATGTTATTAATTTTCATCCATTTATGTAGTTCTTTTGTGTTTTCCTTTTGATGATGCTATTCAATTTCATTGCTCTAGGATTCAATAGTATGGTGTTACTAATTTTCATCTTTTTATGTTGTTCTTTTGTGGTTTGCTTTTGCTGATGATATTCAATTTCACTGCACTATGATTCAATAATATGCATGGTACAATTTCAATTCATTTGTTTTATTTAGCCATGTTCTATGGGATAGTATGTGGTCTATTTTGGTGAAAGCCCTGGGTACTGATATTAGAAATGTGCATTTTTGACTGGGACTCTCTGTAGATATCTACTAAGTTCATTTGCTCAAAGATTTGGTACAGCTCTAATATTTCTTCATTGATTTATTTTTTAATTGATCTGTTTTCTTGTGATGATAGGGCAATCAGGTTATTCACTATAATTGTATTACAATTACAATTGTATATTGTACCACTTATTTTTTCATGTCCATTAATGTTCATTTTATATAATTGAGTGAAATGCTTCTTATATGCAGCTCATAGTTGGACCTTGTTTCTTGATCAATTATGCCAATCTGTTTCTTTTGATTGGTGAATTTAGACCATTCACCAATGTTGACTATAAATATTTATTGATATATCCTTATCATATTTTCTTGTTGGTTCTCTTTCTTTCCCTTTTGTGTATTTGCTTGTCTTGCCTGGTGGATTCATTTTGTTGGG